GCTGGGGGACAACATACAGCCTTGTCGTACTCCTTTCCCAATTTTGAACCAATCAGTTGTTCCATAGCCAGTTCTAACTGTTGCTTCCTGTCCCACATATAGGTTTCTCAGGAGATGGATAAGGTGGTCAGGCACTCCCATTTCTTTAAGGACTTGCCATAGTTTGCTGTGGTCCACACAGTCAAAGGCTTTCGCATAGTCAATGAAGCAAAAGTAGATATTTTTCTGGAACTCTGGCTTTCTCCATAATCCAGGGCATATTAGCAATTTGGTGGTTGCTATAAGTTGGTTCCAATTTGACAGGACAGAACACACACACAACACACTATATAATAAAAACAAAAACACAATAAAAAGCAATAAACTCTGTCACTAGCTAAAAACTACTTTTAAATAACAATACACAAATTAAAATCCATTTGATCTGTTCAGGACAATAGGCATTAATAGAAGGCAGCTTTATATCATTCTTAATTAGCTTCCTTAAAAACAGAGAGGCAACAGCCTCTGTCACAAGCTTGTTCCAGAGGAAAGGGGCCACAACTGAAAAATCTCAGTTCTTTGTGTTGACTTCCCTTCCTCCTTACAATTCTTAACATCAAAGACTGAGGTCCATGTAGGGTGGGTAGCTATTTTGTAAGAGACCTTTTCCACCAGTTATCAAGGTCCTAAACTATTAAGGGTTTTATAAGTTATGACAAGCACCTTAAATTAAACACAGAAACTAACAGGGAGCCAATGAAAGTGTGCCAAGATGTTCATATGTACCAGTAATTGCTGCTGCATTTTGGACCTGCTGAAGTCTCCATACTTTTTTGCCTCCATAAAAGAGACACTGTATTTTTCCGTGTATAAAATGACACTTTTTAACTTAAATAATTAGACCAAAATAATGAAGGTCATTTTATACATGGACGGCAGCCGCTTTCCCTGCCTTTTGTGAAGCGAGAGGGTAAAGCAGCCGTGAAAGGCCGGCATGCTCGCACCCCTTTGATCCTGAAGCAGCCATGAAAGGGCTTCAGGACCAAAAGGGATGTGATTGTGCACATTTTCTAATTTGGGGGTTAGAAGAGGGGGGTTGTCTTATACATTGGGTCGTCTTATAAACAGAAAAATATGGTAGGTCCAAGAGTGTCCCCAGGTTGCAAACCCAGTTCTTCAGGAGGAATGTAACCTATCAAGATGGATAGGCACTGTGGATAGGTGTTTCTTCTGTCTGGATCTCCATCCTGTAATTTCAAGAGCAGTGCAATCTTCTGTGCAGCAGGTGTGTCCTTGCTCCAGCTTTGTCACTTGTGTCTCTGTGATTTCTACTGCATTTTAGTAGTTTTGCCTGGAGAGACATCACCTTACCGACAAAGGTCTGCATAGTCAAAGCTATGGTTTTCCAATAGCGATGTATAGAAGTGAGAGCTGGACCATAAAGAAGGCTGACCACAAAAGAATTCATGCTTTTGAATTGTGGTGCTGGAGAAGGCTCTTGAGAGTCCCCTGGACGGCAAAAAGAACAAACCTATCCATTTTGAAGGAAATCAACCCTGAGTGCTCACTGGAAGGACAGATCCTGAAGCTGAGGCTCCAATACTTCAGCCATCTCATGAGAAGAGAAGACTCCCTAGAAAAGACCCTGATGTTAGGAAAGTGTGAGGGCAGGAGGAGAAGGGGACGACAGAGGACAAGATGGTTGGACAGTGTCATAGCAGCTACCAACACCAACATGAATCTGACCCAACTCCGGGAGGCAGTGGAAGACAGGAGGGCCTAGCGTGCTCTGGTCCATGGGGTCACAAAGAGTAGGACATGACTTAACGACTAAACAACAACAACGTTTGCCTGGCTCAACTGACAGTAGAGTGAATGGGGATAACCTGACCACAGTGTTCTATTCCTTGGTGACTCTCCAGCTGGGATATAACAATGCAATAGCTTCTGCTAGTGAGAAAGTCATATGCAAATTCTGCAGGAGATGCACTGGCAGCCAGTTCTCTTCTTAGCCCAATTCATTGGGCTGGTGCTTACATTTAAACACCTTAATGACCTGGAGACTTAATATCTAAGGCCATTCCTCTCCCTATATCAACCTGTCTTAATCTCTTCAGGGTAGGTTTTCCTCTCAGTACGTTCAGAACAGTGGTTGAAATCTTGTTGCTTAGCATAGTAAATTGTAAGTATAGTAGAACCATTGATTCACTTACTGATATTCTGTGTTTAGCATAATAAGTTGCAACTAGAGTAGGCCTATTGAATCACTG